CACCGTGACCCCCCTCAACAGAGCCAGTTACTTCCTCTTACTTCCTAGACACTACCAGTGGTTCTCAACCTTCCTAATGCCGCGACCCTTTAATACAGTTCCTCATGTTGTGGTGACCCCCAACCATAAAATTATTTTTGTTTCTACTTCATAACTGTAATGTTGCTACTGTTATGAATCGCAATGTAAATATCTGATATGCAGGATGTATTTTCATTGTTCGCGACCCACAGGTTGAGAACCGCTGCGAGGCCATCTGCATTCATGTGATCTGTGCTATCAAGAAGTTGTCCAATTTGAGCAAAGAAGTTGCTTTGTTTTGTCTCCAAATAAAAGAGAAACAGGTTCTAGTATCTCCCAGAATCACAGTAATAAAAAGCTTGACCATATATGTAAAATGCAGAAAAATATGGATCTCACATTTGATATCATATAGTTACCTTTGAAATTCTCTCTTTCATTAGCTTCTAGGATAAACTGTACTGATTCTGTTCATTTATTCACTTATTTATTCACCTACTATTTATTGGGTGTACATATGTGCTAATCACTCCTCAAGGTACTGGAGATACAGCATTGGACCAAATAGAAAAAAACATCCATCTGTCCTCATATAGCTTACATTCTGTCTCACTATTCTTTCACTCCTTTTGCTATGTATTCTTTCTCTCTCTCTCTCTCTCCCTCTCTCTCTCTCTCTCTTAGCTAAATATACATATTACATGCAAGGACTTGTGTCAAATGTGTGATATCTATTAGCTCGTTGGATCCTGAGTGGCACTAGCACTGTCCTCACATGTTAGAGGAAGTAGGCATGGAAAGTTGACACAGCTCCCCTAAAGCCCCTCAGCTAGCAAGTCTCCAGCCCAGGGTCAGGGTACATTTTCTGTCATGGAGCCCTCTGTACTTTTGCTTTCTTTTCTAACATCAGGTTTAGCTCATACTGTCTGTGTCTGTTCTCAAAGAATCTATCCATTTCATTATGCACATACTCTTTCAGCAGATGCTCTCAGACCTTTTGGATTCTGCCTCTGCCAAAGCTCCAGCCAAGTGTCACGGGAGCAGTGCCACAAGGACCGGAGTCATCTGGCCTGGATTCTCACTGGGACCTTATCTGCCGTCATTCACCCTCATCTGGCCGCACACCAGCCTGCCTGGGGCGGGAGTAACGGGTAAATCCTGCGCTCGCCTCTGCAGCTCATCTGGACTCTGCCCTCTCACTGTTCTGCTTGCCACCCGTCCCCCCACCCCCTTCCCACCTGTGGTTTGCGCTTGCTCTTCAGGTGCTAGCGCAGGGTCCACCTGGCCCCAGAGGCTGGTTTCCAGTCCTCTGTTACAGTCTTGCAGCGCTGGCGAGTTTCCTTGTTCCAGTGATTAGGGCTCTTGAGAGCTGGGCCACACGTCTTTTGCTCACCTTGCATCTGGGAGCCCGGCTACCAGAGTGGGTAGTTTGCTGCAGACATGCCTATCACTTCAAACTCAACAAAATGCAAATTACATTTTGTTCACTGGCAGATGTCTACCTTCCAATGACCTAATGACCTCACCATACTCATCCTGGGTCAGGATGGCCCACATACTGTCTGTCGAATCATCTTCCTCCTTCCCTGTCTTTCTCAGTCCCCCCATGTCACAGGAGCAGCAGCACTGACAGCCTCTGCTTGATTGTCCCTCCAAGGAACCTCTTGGCCTCCAGCGTTGTCACCTCTGAGATCCGCTGGGCAGCAACCCTAACTCCCTGGCAGGCCTGCGGATCCTCTCTGAGCCCAACCGGATAGTCATTCAAATGCTCGGAATGTTGCTGGTCTACAGACCTATCACCATCACACACGTCTACTCGGGCATCTATCTCCCCTTCAATTCATGTCCTCATTTTTCAAAAAATCATGAGCTAATTAACAGGAGGTAGACAGGTTTGGGTTTGGAAAAAAGATGTTAAGAAATCATTACGCATGTAAGGCTGAGGAGGCTATTGGGTGGTGCAGACCATGGCAGAAGGAGGGCTCTCAGCCCTTCCCCGATTCACGGGAGGTGGAAACAGGAGCACACAGTCAGGGGCTCCCGTCAGACGCGTCCAGGCCTGGAGTGTTCATTCACCGCGTAGCCCGGGGCCTGTGCGCTGTCGCTTTTCACAGGGAGGGGCTCCCCCGGCCTCCCGAACGCAATCCTGCAGATAAAGCGCGTGCTGCGCCCGCTCCTCAGGCAGGGCCCCCCCGAGCGTGCGGACAGGACGGAGA